ATGTGTCAAACAGCGCTCACCCCCCATACCATCTTTGCTTTAGCAACCTGATCACCCTTAGCCACACGAACACTGGTCCGACCTGTTGGATCTCTATGCATAGTCTCCTTTGTGCTCCGTCAACTGTGCAAAACCACACAGCACAAGCCAGCCTTCATCGCCAGCAGTGCACAAAGTTGCCACACAGCCAGCTGAGCACGGGCCAGCCGCACACAGACCCATTTGCATCCACTCTTCGGTCCAGCCACTCTTTGGTCCAGTCGCAAACAATTGTGTTTCTTCCCCTTCAGAAATTTTTTTTCTCCGACTTTAATTACCATACAACTCTTGAAGGATGTTGGAGGTTACAACCCAAAATACTGGAACATATTCCCACATGGGAACCCATCAACGAATTTCAGTCAATTCAGACGTCCTACGGCTTTATAGACAAAGATTATTTGAGCCAATCCCAATTAATTCGGACACCTTTCAAAAGTAAAGATAAGCTCAACCATCTTATGAGTACAGAACCAAAATCTGGAGACTCCACATTTGCTGCTTGAGACAAAATAAATTTTATGATCATAGCATGGCAATGGAACTTCATGACTCCAGAAAAAGCCCAAACACTAAAAAAAATTGTTGAAAATTGTATAAAAAGCCCAGTATTGCTAGCGAAGAATGAGGATACAAAAAATATCTCACAGAAGATTTCTAAATAGGTTCATATGGTTAACCAACAGGAAGAAAAAACATTTGACAATCTCATTGCTTTCAAGGTCGAGATTGGATGACTGCAAAGTTAATTGGAGAACCTTGAAAAGCCTACAGGTACAAATGTAATAGAACACTCAAGTATAATTTTTTTTCAATCGGTTTGAATGTCTCAGATAAAATCTTAGAAAATTCCTGTATTATAAATTCAGAAATAACATATCATATGACCAATATTTTTAAGTATTTCTAAACATGTTTTCTATTCAAGTAACAAGAAAATTATTACTGTAAACGATTTCCTAAATAGTATTATAGGCAAGAGGAACATTAAGTTTAATCATATTTTTGTTCTGAAAAATATGTTGCATGTTCCCAAATTATGTACTAATTTTAGATCAATTAGTAAATTATTACAAGACTTGAACTGCAAAATAACTTTTAACTCTTCTCATTTTAATTTACAGGACTAGAATTCGGGGAAGATGATTGAACGTGTTGAATGAAGCATGAATTTTCCTACTTGAATGCATCTGAGCCCATACACAAAATTTCGCTCCACCATAAGAGATTTGGGCAGCCATCCTTCTCCATTTTGAAAGTTATATTTCCCTTATTATTTAAAAATTCAAACTACAAAAATTTACATTATTGATATCTGTGAGTTTACACAACATCAATGTATAATGTTTTCTATCATTAATTAAAAAAGCTTAGTTTCATTTTCATTAATTCACAATGATATTTTGGGGATAAATCCATACCTAATATTCCTAAGGGGGTTCAATAGTATGTGTCGTTTATTGACGATTGTTTTAGACTCACCCGATTGTTTTTATTCAAAACCATATCTGATGTTGACTATATCATATCTCAGGTATGCAACACGATAAAAAACCAATTCGGCATAACTATAAAAAATTCCTTACGAACAATTTTAAAGATTTTTTCAATCGGATACTCTCATTATTCTTCAATCACAAATGATTTTTTCATGAACTCATCCTGCATCCACCCTTCACAACATAACAGAGAAGCGAAATGCAAGATACTCATCTTTTAACCATCACCAAATCTTTTCTTTTCTAAAACAATGCCCCAAAAAGA